CAGATATCACAAAAAAGTAGTACTATGCTGCCAGGAAAAGTTAAAGACAGGGAAACTGGAGCAACCTGCTAGGCTTTAAAAACAGAAGACAATTTTTAGGCATTTGTTGGGCAGTTTTGTGATACAGTTCCCTGTACAGCTCACTCTCTGCTGATACCTGGCAAAGTCCTGCTCCCACTCTCTCTGCCTCATTTTCCCTTGCCTCTGGTATTTGCTGCTGAAAAAGAAAAAAAATTAGGCTAGTTTGTGCAAAGGATCAGTTTTGGCCACTCATCCAGAGCACTCACTAGAATGCAAAAGATCTAGCCTCACCTCTGCTGTGGTGCACGCTGTTTCCTCACCAGCCTTTCATCTCTCTATTCAGTTTTATATTGCCTGGGACAGAGCTCGCCTCTATGCCCAGAACTATCTTTGCTGGATACTGCACAATCTGGGCAGACAAAGACATTTTAGCACCACAAATCAGTCACAAAGACACTTTAGCAGTCATAAGTCACTGCACTGTATAATTACTTTTAACTCTGTGCAGTCTGAAACCAATTCTCTTAGGTCCTGCTGCTGGCAGAAAACACCCTGCTGTTGAACACGCATCTGATTACAGTTCTGCTCAGCCAAATATTCTTCATGGTTTCTACAGATGTTACTTTTTTTTATCCAATAGCTATGAACATTATGAGCCGATGCTCTCTTCACCTGCCACTTTTCTCTGCCAATAATCCCAGTAAAAATCTATTAGCTCATGCCCTTAACCTCAGCAAGTCTTAGCTGTGCTGGTTTACATCTCATCTGGGATAATTTAAGGTTTCAGGAACCGTTGGCTTAGTGTTATCTTTAAAAATACCTCCCTCCCTGCTATAATCAAGGCTGAGAGGTTTCAAGCAAACAAAAACAGCTGAGCTATCCAATCTCCATAAGTTTTCCATAAAATTCTCATTCAGTTAAATCTTATGTTAAGCTGTTTGCAGTTAAGTGCCACAAAGGCACACTGAGAATGTAGGCTGGAGCTGCAGGCTCTGGTAAAGTGAAATGCTGAGATACATTCTCACATAGAGCAACTTAAACTTAACAGAGATGTGCCAGCTCCCACCAGGAGAGACCTGTGTTTGAGAACACTGATGAGCAGCTGTTGAGTGCCCTCAATCAGGGAATGGTTTGGCCTCAGAAACTGAGTTTGAGGCCTCTTCCTTCCAGGTCACTGCATCAAACAAGTTAGGGGTGTGCAAAACAGACTGAGAAGTCTTGGTGCAGTGCCAAGGAGAATGAGCTCACTTTTCACCTATGCATCGATTCAGGACACAACAAATGCATCAGGTCAGAAGGCGGGGAACATATTTAGCCCTTATCCTCATTTTCCACAGTCATTTTATGGATACAGGAACATAGCTTCAAACAAAAAAAGCCCATGGGTTGCACTAAGATAAGCTGATCTTTCCTGAAAGCAACTAAGAATTTATGATGACAGACACCATAATAAATTAGTCAGCTAGGCAAGCAGCACACAGAAAGAGAGAAAGGAGTCTTCCTCCTCACCCCCACCAACATCAGGTCACAGTGTTTAGGAGTGAGGTAACCCTCGCAAGCAGTTCCTCCCATTGGCAACACTAGATGTTTTTGTGTCTCCATAGACAGGACATACTGAATAGTGGAAAGCTGATGGATGACATTCTTAGCTTTGTGCAGACTTTAGGATGTTTCCAGGAACAAACGCCTTGCTCCAGAGCCAGCCAGCTCAGAGGAAGCTGAGCTGAGAAGCAATTGGGATGCAACGGCAGGTCACAGCTAGCATAGCTTCAGGTAACAGAGGTAACTTTCAAGTTAATGACAATGAAGCCATTAGCAAGTAGTCTTCTCTGAGGAAAAAGTGGAACAGCGAATCAAGTGCTGAAGACTTTACATGGGAGAGAAAGGAAGGATAGCCTTAATATCACCTCCCTACCTCACAAAGCTGGTGGGAACTGCAGGTACTTTTACCTTCCATTCAGGCTCAGAGCCCTATCCTGGACTCACAATGCAAAGGGGGCCATAAGAAGGACAACTGTTAGATGAATACAGAAGCAGAAATGAATGAAGAACAGGCAATCGAGAAAGGAGGCCTGCACCAAAGCTCTAGCTTCTGAAGAGGCCCCATAAAACAGTAGGAAGAGTAGGAGGCTGGGTGTCAGGACGTCCACATGTTTGCCTGCAATTAGCTCACTTAGAGCAGCTACTTTCAGTACAGTACCTTCAGTTCCACTGTCTGTAAACCGGGGCAGTGGAGTTTACACATTTCATACACATCTTCCAATGTTTTTTCTCTTCAAGATACAGATCTATTTTAAAGCTCCTAATAAAAAGTTAAAATCAAGCCCAAGATCAAAGTTTTTCAGGCCTTCAGAACTCACAGAGACCTTTGTGCTGCAGCTCTTGAAAACAATTTACAGAAAAAATGGAAAGCATAGATGCACGATGCCCTTCCACCAAGGAAGGGCCAAACCTAGCTCTTATCTCCTTCCACACAGGTTGCAAATCTGGACCTTGGTGGTCCTAAAACTGAAATGCTGCACGCATTGACCCAATCAGTTTTGCTTTAGAGAGCATCAACAGCATCAGTCTCTCAAAGGGATATCTGATCTGAGGGATGTTCAGGACTTAAAACAAGGCCAGACCAAGCTACAGCAGGGTGACCTGGGCACTCCTAAATCTTGCAATTTTAGGGACTTCTGTCACACTGAGTGGTGGTCTTGTAACTCCTATAACTTCCATTATACATGTCCATGCATTTCTTTGCAAATACAACTGCTTGACAAATAACTACTTTCTCTTGAACCAAAAGTAGCTCCCCCACAAAGTGAAAACTTTCACCCAAATTTTATGTTTGATCTGGGATATTCACATTTTAAATTTAAAAAAAAAAAAGACAGCAGACATGCAAACTAAGAATGCTACAAACTGTCAGCTTCCAGAAACCAAATCCTAAGGCTTATGGGTTTGCACTACATAGTTTGACTTTGATGAAAAGAAAACTTCTAAATATTTGAGCAGCAATTTCATTTCCATTAGAACCTTCCAGGTGGAGAGAGAAGGCAAGGCTTCTGCCCAGATCTAGAGAACTACAGACTTTATAACCCATATGATCCAAACAAAACTTTGGATCTGAGCTCTGGGGAGAAACCAACCATGGCTCAACATCTAAATGCAGCCATGATCCAGATTTAAGGAGTTGTGGCCACATGTCAGGTTTGGGTCCAATTTTATGGAGCTTAAAAGGAAAAGCATGAATCTGTGGCTGCCTCTGCTGTTCTTTTTTGAAAGCCACCTCTCACTTGTTCATACATCTCCAGCACTTATCTCCAGGCTGCATGGAGATGCCTCCAAAGCAGTTAATTCACCACATCCCCCCCACTCCAGTGCTTTTACTTGGATCCCTCTCCATCCCTACTCCCCCCTCCAATGCCACCTGCTCCTCCCTGGACACTTAGCCCTCCAGTTCCCGCTCTTCATGTCCTCAACACCCACCATATCTTAATTAAGCAAACATGAACCATAGCCAGCCAAGCTTCCTGCGTACTGACACAAGAGTTGGCAATTCCAGAACCTGCCTATTACAGAGAATGCCAGCATAACAGCACAAAAGCCATTCAGGACAAATTACATACACTCACTGTCCTACTCCTGCCCTGAATGCTCAGTGGCATTCCTCACAGGGCAAACAGCCTTAGCAAACTATTCTCCTGCTTTGAAGAGCAAATTACACAGATGCTCAAAGCACGAGCAAGTCTAACATTGAGCCATTACACTTCCACTAGTAAGAAACTAATTAATGCATTTTATACTCAGGAGGGTCAGGACCACCTCCAAAACGATCAGGCAGCTTCTGAATAGATTCCATGTTAGAAAAGATGAATTCTACTGTCACTGGTGTTATTACGTATGAGTTATGCTATCTGGTTTCCTGTGTGGGTTTGCAGGCATGTCAGATAAGAACAATAGGATCATTAGTTCTTCCAGCTAAATGGCTCTCAGTACACTTCCCAAAAAGACCAGACACTCAGGGTCTAATGTGCTTCTCTTACTTTTGTTCTTCTGCTGGGTGAACTCTGTAGAGGAAACGTCTTTCCAAGCTGCATCCACAGAAGCACAGCAATGCCTTAGCCACTGCTCCAATACAGCTTTCAACAACAGTGTTTATTTAAGCTGCATGACCAGGCCTGCTAAGTACCATAAAATATAGGTGAGGAGAGAAGCAAACCTGATCTCACTACATACTTAACCCAGCAAGACACACATAGATACCCTTCACAAGCAAGTTTCTTGTCTTCTGTATTTTGTGCCCTCCACTGCTCAAGCTTATCTATCCACATACTTGCTGCCAGAGTCGCAGCATACAATACCACCAGCAATTTTCCTCTAAAAAAATAATCTCTTTGCAACAGGCCTATTATGCAAATGGAACAGATTATTAAGCTTTTATTGGAGGCCAAGAATGGATGTTGTGTTTCAGAGAAATCATAAGCATCTCTTAAATTTCACTGTTTGGCAGGACTCATTTAAATTTAAACTTATTTGCAGCCTTTTCCTCCCACTTGTGTCTTAGACATGCCCAAACTGGAGCCAGTTTTATGAGCCCTTCAGCATTGGCTGTAAAATCCAAAAGGGCCAGGTCTCTTCCATCCTTGCCACCTACATCAAAAGCTTGTGCAGTAAAAAAAAAAAACAAACCATAGATAAGCTTTCATTTTGGTTCACAACATTTTTTACATTCAGGGCAGTTCTGTCTAGTACGTGCCATTACACTTCCCCTTGGATCTAAGCTTAAGCATTCCTACCTGTCTCAACCCTTCATGGAGCCATGTGCTGAGGCTGGCTTTCCCTCAGCTTCACACCATTCTGCAAATGTAATAGCTCCTCATCCCATAATTATTACCTTCACAGTGAAGATATTTGAAGATCCAAAATGTTTTGCAAGCAAATGCCTGCCAGTGCAGAGTCAGAAAAAAAAAAAAAATATGAAAACAGCTTACTGAGAGTAACTGTGTCATTTATCCTGAAACTGCAGAGCACTCTGTCAACATTACGGGCATGTCGAAATCCGTTTCCTCTCACGACAACCTGAAACGACTCTGTAGCAAAAGAGACAGTAGATTATTGATACATAGCGAGGCAAAGAATGGTCATTTAGACACGGCACATATGTCAGAAGTTTCCACTTGATATCCTTCGAGCTAAAATTTGCAGTTTAACAATTTCTAAAATTAAAAATTGTTAAAAGTTAAACTTCCACTCTCTCCCTACCCAATTTCAACTTGAATTTTTGGAAACAGGAAACAATACCACAACAGAAACATTTTAACTGACCTGCAGTGGAAACTCTAAGCTTCAGAGACACTGAGCTTTCCCCTCCCCAAGTTGCCATTTTAAATGGCACGAAGTTTTGGATGAAGGCAGGCAAAAGTATCTTTCCATGGAAAGAAAAAACCTTGCAGCGACAGATAACTTGGAGAAGTTCAAGTGCTACTTTCCTAGGTAACTGCAAAATTGTATCAGTTGCCATGAGTTTTGTCACATCCTGCCCTACTAGCCCGTACAATGACCATGAGTCCTTGGCAGGACTCATTTCCATGCAGTGACAGGGGATTTCATCAGCTGATCAGCTTCCTGGTCTCTGGACAAAGGCTATGATCTCAGGAGTCCATGGGCATTTCCCCAAGTCTTCCTCTTTGCTATTCTTCCAGATCAACTCTACAAGGTCACTGCAAGTGCTTGTGCTCTGCACAAGCAGAAAGCATCAACGACAATCACCTACACCTCAGCGTTGAACTGAGAGGTCCTTTTTGGAATAAGCAGAGCTAAGCAATGAGATCATATCCTCACAAGTCTTTCAGACCACTCTCTACTGTTCCTTGTTATTCCAACTACTTGAACCTAGTACTGGGGAAGGTTTACGAACTTCCTGCAGTCACCAGCATTGAAACTGCCTTGCAAGGAAATCACCATTTCCAGACTTTCAGATTTTGAAACACGACCATAGTCCCAGAAAAGTTCATAGACATAGGGATTCAAACCCTGCAGTTCCCCCTGATGAAGGAAACAGCCCCCACAATTCCTGTTACTATCTAGGAGAAACGCTCAGATAATCCCCACTGATGTTTCACTGATAAATGTGGTTTGAACACAAAATGTTTCACTGTCCAAGACAATGCAGGAGTAATCACAGTGCATCAGAAGCACCACACTAGTTTTAAAATTCCCAGGAGCAACAACGAACCTGGTTTTTGCGGATTCAAAGCTTTCCCCTTGCACTTTACAGTCCCCATCTTCTTTCATCTCCCTTAAGGACTCATACACTGTACTTGTCAAAAAAAGCAGATTTGCTCTGGAATCTGGGCTCTCTTCCAGGTCCCACTCATTTACAGCCAAGTTGCAAATCATCCCACCACATCCAGCCAGCAAAGCTGCCTCGCAGGCCCATTATGTGTTGTCCAAGAGCATTTGGGAAGAACGGGGGAGAAGAGCTCTGTTCTGGAGTGCGGGGGCTGGTGAATACTTAAGAGAAATCACAGAAGTCTCAACTTCTGGGGAATGAAAGTTCACATACAGTCAAAGAACAGCATATCAGTGATGTCAGATAAACCACGGGGATCCTGTCTCTGCTTGAGACTGCAATGAACAGATACAGTATGCACTCTGCATGTTTGTACTGATGCAACACCAAATCATCAAGAAACTGGCATTTCAGAATGATGTGTTGCTGCTGAAATTCATTACTCAAGTGTCTGGGACCAGTCTGCAGCGCAAGACTTGCTTCAGGTAACATGGAGCCCTCATGTTCCCTCCTTCCAAAAAAAAAAAAAAATTGCCACCCCTCTTCAAGGATGTGCACAGAAACAAGAAAACATGAGGTACCAGAGCTGTATCTGCAAAAATTTATTTCAGAAAGACACTAATGCACATAACTTTCATATTCAATCACACTTTCATTAGTCTCAAAGTCCTAAGATATGGAATTAGCTGCAGTTCAAGAGCAATGGAGTATTTGCCCAAACTCAGAGATGAGGCTTTGAATTGAATAGCTAAATAACTGTTGGCACTTTTCAAGGTTAATATTGCTCCTCTTGTGATGTACTGGCCAAATTCCAATGTGAGTAGTTTATACAAAACCCCTGTACATTGCCTCGCAGCTGCCTGTGCTGGATACAGCTGGACATTACCCCTACATTCTCATTAAGGCACAATGAATGTGAGTGATAAGATGTATAAGCAACTGACAAGCATATTGGAAAGTGTTAAAGATGGTTATAAATGACAGCTATAAGTCATTTTCTGGCTTACAACATTACATAAGCATCATTGTTTATCACTTGTACAAGTGTGCAAATATATTAAAAAAAAATCTGGGTATGAAGTGGATCTGAGTCTTCATACAATGTCATTTCCTTTCCCAAGCATTTATGAAACATCACTGCACTGTATCAGAGACTGTCATGACAACAATCATCTACCATGCTAAGATAGGCATATCAGAGACAGATAGTCTCTGTTTTGGAGACTTTTTTTAACACAGGAGCTATTTAATTTGCCATCCAAAATGAGAAATAGATGACTAAGTACTATAATTCATGTCAATTATGCTATCCTGGCTTCAAAAAACAAAACTACTGTAGTGGCATGCATGGAATGCAAAACTGATGCTTGGTACTTATCGGGCATTTAGCCTGGTGTCTTGTATCTGCTAGGGAAGTATGAATACCTACATATGTTTAGGTGTACAGGCAGTTGCTCCAGGAACAGGAGATGCCGGAAGGATGATTAAAGCAGCTGCTTTGGAAGTGAAAACAAAAAAGTAATGATAACTGGCTTTCTTACTTGGACTACCAATTTAAGAAAAAGGAAGATGCAGAACTTGTCAGGGACTCATCCTTCTCTACAAACTTTAGCTCTGCTCCCAACCTCTCTACTTAATGAGCTGCTACACATTCAACAAACAGTTAGGATACACTTTATAAAATGTGAAGAATTCACAGGAAGCAAGTGGAAGAGGTTAACATGGTCCTCAAGCTTTCTCCAAAAAAGGCTGGGTTCTGCTGAATGCAGAAATGCTCGCCAGGACTTTAAAGCCACAGTGTGCATAGCATAATCATATTAGAACAAGCACACAAAGAGGGAGCGGTATGATTCACACAGATTAGCTGAATGATGTTCAAATTCTATGCCTCAGTCCCTGGACCAACCCTAAATGCCTAAGAAATATTCAAAGAATATTAGAAGCCTTTAGATCAAAGTGTGCTCGTTTGACTTCCTTGCTAGTTTCTTAAGAAGCTCTTCCCTCAACAGTCCTCTGAGATGAGGAATTTGCAAAACTCTAAACCTAATCACAAAGTCTCCTTTTCTGATTTGGTTTGTAATTTTGCAGCATACCAACTTCAAGTTTGGCACAGTCCGAGTAAGACAGACTGGCTTGACTGAAAAACAGTTGGGCAAAACTGTCAAATTCAAGCCTTTTCTGTAAGAAAATGATATTTGACATCATTTGGCAGAAATGGGAAATGTGAAAGCTACTGTAAGATGAAAAAGAACCTCACCAAAAAAGCAAAATATTTCGCTCCAGTTAATTAGTTCCTTTTGCTCTCTCCAGCAACTAAAGATGGACAGAAAAATGTATTTTAGGCAACGCAAACAACTAGGGCTTTAATTTATACTTACCCCCTGCACATATACTGGAAGGCTCTGCTGCCAGAATTTCTATACAGGATTTCTTCAAAATCTAAAAGACAGAAAAAATGTCATGAAGTATCTCAGACTTTTTTCTACAGAAACACAAATCTAAAAGCGTGAGACAGTGCACTTCTCACGTAAACGCTTAACACTGCACTTGGCATTCATGTCACAATTATGCCATCTTAGCTTTTCACTTTAAACCAAGCATACAGGTGCCATTGGTCTTCCAAGCTATCTCAATGGAGGAAGGCAATGGGTGCCGATGCTCTCCCGTATCTTGGTACAAGCTTGCCTTTGTCTGTGGTACAAGTTATTATGCAGACTATGATCCATAACAACTAAGGCGCACTCTGAAGGGTTAGCGAGGCAACATCATTGCCCTCCCTTTGCTGTCATACCTCCCCCTCCAAAATTTTTCTGGAGACCAAAACTCCAGACAAAGTGTCACAAGTTTAAGCTAAGCTGTTTACCTTTGCATTAAAACACCCTAGGAGCATCTACACAGCCAATTCTCAAGCCTCAGCGTAAGGGTTCCAACTTAAGTTGGATCTATGAGATCTATGAGAGCATACCTTAGTGCATCCTCAAAGTTGCACTATGACTTCAAATCAAGATGTATGGACAATCATTCTTGACTTCAGCCAAACTTTAATTAAGCAGTACGTCTTCATAAGGGTTGGCACTGCCTTTAACCACTTTATGTGTAGACAATGATTTACACAAATACTTCAGCATCAGGCTTGGCAGACTGCTCACAAGGCACGAGGAGCATGCTAGAGTTGGACGCTGTTTATTCTCATACAGTGCTAAAATTGCTCAAGCTGTTATTCGCATGCAACAGCCTTTCCCCTGCTCTGAAGACCAACTCAAATTCTTCACTGCACACAGTCAGCAAACTTGTGACAGTGTCCGTAAGCCCCTGCGAGAATAACAGCAGCGACTGAGAGCTGCGGGTGTTCAGCACTGGGTTGAGCAGCCCCTAGACGAGGTAATACTGATCAAAATCTAGGTCATCTCCAAGAGGCAAGTAAATGTCAGCCAAGCATCATGACTCAAATCCAGCATGAAAATTATTTTCCCAACTTTAAATTGAAACATCTACAATACAATAAATTCTGTAAGAAAAAGACAATCTATTTTTTCTCCACAATCACAGCTCTCTGCCTCAAATACCTAATTGCAAAAGGTACGTATAGAGCCATGATTTATTTTTTAAAACTTTTAAACAAAAGTTTGAGTTACTCGGAAGCAGGTCTGGTAGAGACTGAAAGAATACCAAAGGACTGAAGGAATCAGGATCGTCTGAGCTGCTGGCAGCCTGACAAGTGAGGAGAAAGAAGATTTGCAGGAACAAGGTTATACAGGAACTGTCAAGTGGAAAAAAAGAGAAAGTCAACAGTTGAGATTAGAACTGAAAAGCACTAGAAGACTTTGAAAGGCATAATAAGGAAAATACAAAAACAAACCAAAAAGGACTGTAAGAACACATTTCCAAAGCATCCATCCGTAGCTATCCATCCATCCATCTCCTGTCAGTCCTCTACTACCCACCCCTTACTCATTCCAGGTTCTGCTTCTCTGAAGATACGGCATTTATCTCCCAAAGTGACTGCTGGGGCTAATGAGCACAACTAAGAGTTGATGTTTTTACAAGTATTTTTCCTCTCCACTGAAAAATTTCTCCTTTAAGAAGAGGATATTTTCACATTTTTCCAAATTCCCCCTTAGATTCTGGTCCCCTTCTCCCTCAGCATCCCCAAATTTTAATATATATTTTTCTTCTCGTTGCCTTTCAGCAGTGAGGTGAAAGAGAAGTAGGCAAATGAGTTGGAGAACAAATGCATGAAAAACACAATAATTTTTTTAAAAAATCAAGTAAAACCTCACATGATTAAATTCAAAATTCATGACTTCTATGCAGTCATTTGCAAACATTCACGGTGCAAGCCAACCCGGGTGGGGGGGGTGGAATAGCAGGTGTCTCAACTAGATGATGCAGAGCTCCCTTACAGTCCCATCCAATCCATTTACGTGACTATAAAAAGCTGGCCTTAATGGCTTTTTACAGTGCCAACTGCAATATTTATTTTGATTTGGAATAATAAGAAGTTTCCAATGCTCCAAGCACCCACCCTAACTTAAAGTGAAAATCAGACAGCAATACCTACTGCAAACTAATTTCTTTCTGTCTCTCCTTCATTATAAAAATACATTCAAAAAGGACTTCAACATATTCACTGTAGAAGATTTAATCAAATCTGTTCTCTTATTTCCCCAAGGACTGCACAGCCTTGTGTGGGCTGTAGGTGCACCTCATTCACTGTGGGCTGGCTCCCCAGGAAAGCAAAATAACATGCAAGAGTGGTGATGCAATCTCCCAGCTGAGTGCCTATAAACCACTCCAACAGCATACGTGGGAGAACTGACTCCACATCCTCATTTTTATAGGGAGAACTACAACAGCTCTGGTTTACTTGGTAACTAACTGCAGGCCTCAAGGCAGCTTGCCTTGGCAACCACAAAGAAAAGTATGTGAAGCACGAGCTCCCGCTCTTGGTGAGGAAGCATCCCATTGTCTTTAGAAGCACGCACTTAATGACCAAGCTCAGATTCTCAAATCTCCTGTTGTACTCTACGGGGCTCCAATTAGGCCCCAGCTTCACACAGGCTCCTGGGAGGATCTCTTGTTAATATTTGTTGACACACCAAATAAAAAAATGCAACACATCCTTATGGAAGCATGGCTTTACTTGTCACAGTGATCTCTATCAGGACAGAACTGAATTGAGCACTGCCTGTGACTAATTCAGCTTTCCACCAGGCAATGCATTAAACCCAAGAGCCAGGAGAGGCCCTGCAGGTCACCTAGGCCCTTTCAGAAACAAAGAGAAAAAGAGAGTGAAATTCTGCAGCTGCTGGAAGCTTTCATTTGGTATTCTGGTCCACAAGCATGCAGACAGATTACTTCACCACAGCAGCTGCCTATTTCTCATAAATTTTTTTCACCAAATTTGGCAATTCTAATTAGCAAACAGGATGCTGAAGTTTAATAGAAGGTTAGTGCCTAATCAGCATTAGTGTGAATGACCTACGGTCTGAGGCTGGGTACTCATTATCAAGCTCTGTTGAATTACTAAATAACAAAGTCTGTTGGCAATTACAAAACAGTAATTTATTTATGAAGTGTTTCCTGTCCAATAATATCTGCATGAGCTAAGTAAAATAAATATGTTTAAGTCCTTTTTAAAGATGCATTTGGGGGAAGAAAGAAGTAGAAAGCATGATCACATACCACTAAAAGTAACGAGAAACACTATACAGTCAACACTGGGGGTTCGCATCCTCTAGTTTAGATAGGTAAGCTAGCTACCCAAGCCAAGAGGCCCACGTTGTTGACTTTCTCTTTGGCCTATGTAGAAAGCCTGGATCTGACAGAAGACAGCTTCAGAAGATCTATGTGAAGCTCCTGCTCTGAATTGCCCTCTGGAGATCCCATCCTTCCTTACTGGCTGCAGAAGCTTAAAGAACCCAGCTTGCTGGCCCTGGGCAGTGTGCACGTACAGCTTGACCTACATGTTAGCAGTAAGGCAGACAGCCGACTCAGGCATTTTGTGTACCTTACAGATTTTGCACATACAGGACGTGCCTTGCAAAGGAAGTTACTTCCTCTCATCTCTCTCCCCAGTCATGGGGTCGCAGCCCCTTCTCCCCGCACCAGGGAATATACAGTTTATCTATTTGCCAGTGAAGTTTGCACAGCTAGCTCAGGATGAGTGCGTAAAAGCATCACCACATTTCTCATACTTCATCTATTCCATGCTTACATCAAGCTCTCACAAAAGCTACCATGCTACATGTATCCAGCTCTGCAGTTTGTGCTAGAAAACATCTGTGTAACAGAAGTGTTCAGAGATAGTCTATTTCCAAGCAAAAATTTCTTGGGGTGAAGGAGTACATTGACCTGCCATATCAATTCTAAGAGCTGAGGCAAGACCTGAAAAATACCAAGGGTAGGTGGTCACCATTGCAAGACGATCCGAAAGGAGTACACAGGAAATTAAACTTAAAAGGATGAACCATTTGCACAATTTATTTACAACAGATTTTATATACAGATAGGACAGATACAGATACAACTTATACAGATAGGAGACAGTCTCACAAATTAGTTCACATGACTTAATTTCTCATATATCACAACTGCTTCATGAAGCTTCCTGCAGCTCACTCAGAGAATACTTTCTAAGGGACCCATGATTACATCTCTATTTGATGTAAGCTCCGAGCCGGTGCCACTGTTTAACACATGGCAAGGATCAGGGAGTATTCTTGTTCCAAGCGACTGCTCTTCAGTCAGTTTCTGTCAAAGGCTCAAAGCAAAGCAATGATAGGATCCCAGCCTGACTTTCATGTTGCTTCACATTCCATTGCCTCCAGCACTCCTACCAAAGGCATACAGAGCCATAGATGAAGTTGTTTCAGGTTTTCTGTCTAAGACTTGCTCCATTTGCTGTAAATTGACAGGTATGATCTGCAGAAATTTTTCACAGCAAAGAAAAATTTAATAAATTACTTCAGTTCCTTCTATTTGTTTCCCAGCTTACAGCAATCAGATGTCCATTTCTCTGCCAGGTTCTTCCCTGGAGGACGCGAAAGTTTTAGCAGTGGCTTTTTCACAACGAGGGAGACAAAGCAATTGGTTTTCTTAACAGGAGTCACATTGGAACTCACAGGAGAGAAAGGACAAAAAACCTACAGTGCACTGAATATGTTTAGCTCCCACTTTAACAATCATGTTCTTAAGCATGACTTCAGCATGGGACCTGTATTTTCAGCTTATTTAAGCACAGCCTCCAGGGCAGAGCTTGAATAGCTTGGTGGCGCTCAATGGGAGACAGTCCTCCTTGGAAAGCGTGGAGCAGATGTCCCTGCAGCTGCTAACTCAAAACTTGCTGGCTCACACAGAAAAGGGCAGGCAGGTGTACTGAAGTATTTGCAGAGCCACCACCCTGAACATCTTCTCTCGGCGATGTAGAGGCCCAGCAGAGGCCAGCTTCAGGCTCCACAACTCCCAGCTCCCACTCTCTTCCTCATTCCAGCTGGACTTCTAAGTCTACCGCCTCTGCACATGCAGAGGGTCAAAAAGATCTACTCCTCAGGACCAGGAGAGGAGGGAAGAGTCAAGCTGCCTCAACATCAAATCACTGCACACCAGAACAAACCTAGGTCTTCACATCTCTAAAGTGATTTCAAGCACTAATCTCTCCCAGGCTCATAATTTTGTCTTTCCGTCCCCTGTTATATCAACAATCAGCTAGCAGCCTAACCAATTCCCTCTACACATGGCTGAGCATCCTTACTATACCAGCTCTTACACAGGAATTGAAAGAAGCTTCCAAATCTCATGGCTCTTTCAACATTAAAATGCTTTCCTATGAACACAAATGCTTTGTTTGCTCCAAGACAGAGGTGCTCTACAAGGACTAGAAAAGAAGGAATGAGGGCGCTCATTTTCCAGCTAGAACAGGAATCTACAGTTTCTCTGTTATTCTACAGAATGATTAGTGTCCTTCTTGCTGTTTCTTTTACACACCTCCTTTCTACCCAACCCATTGCAATCACTCCACTCAAATGCAAGTGATCAGGTCACAGACTCATTACTGTACCATTACACTTCCTTGTGACCCTCCTTTCCAGGGCTGGTAAATCTTGCACCAGTCAACTGAAGCAGTTCTTGACTAGGTTCCTGCAGACTAAAGTTTTCCCATTCTGTTAAGTATAACTGGAACGTCAGAACTGCTCCTGGAATTCATTAAAAACAGCTGCAAAGAGAATGCAGGGCTGAGAAGCAAACTAGGGTTTTCTGTTGTTTTGTTGCTTTAAGTAACATGCAACACCTGATTGTCCAAGAGAATTGAGGCAGTAGCCCCACACTTAGACAGTGCCAGGAAAACCAATAAGCCAGGGATTGTATTCCATCTACAAGCGAGAGCACTAGGGAAAATTGAGCCTGTGCTGAGGGAACAGTTTTGCTTGGTACTACATAGTCAGAATAGTGTGTAACCACTGCAAACACAGAAATCTGAGACCCCCCCCAGTGAACCTACCCTCCCTACCTTCAAGTTGTGCATTTCATCTGTGTTTTACCAACTAAAAATCCTATACACATGTATAAAGGACACAAGTGACTTTAAAAGGATTTCCCATCCCTCTTTGTAGCCATGAGAAGCAATCTAACTAGAATACAACTGAGCAAAAGGAACAAAAAAAAATACTGAAAGTTACCTGAAAACATACCGTTTCCTAGTGAACACTTGGCACATTTTATGCTTACAGTGAAAAAGGCACACACATCCTCTCTATTATTGCCTTTCCTGCTCAGCCAAGGGAAGCCTTGGTCCTAGGTGAGACAATATTAGGCCACTGAAAGTTTTAGAGCTAGAGATAGGGATGCCTCACGAGGCATCATTATTTGCCAGTAAAGACCATGGAGCCATTTGCATGACTGGTACACAAGCCATAGGAAAGGAATCAAGCTATGTCCCTCCCTCTGTCAGCTGAATGCCAGCTCTTATCCCAGCCGCTCAGGAATGGGCCAGCTCTTATTGCTGCACCCAACCCTTAGCGGACATTCCAGGAATTGATCAATCTGAATCAGGAAACCTAGGTCTGGAGGAGGAAAAAAAAAGATAGCCCATTTGTCAGGAGGCCAAATGCAGAAAGCCAAATCCTGGGGATTTTGGCACACACAGCAGGATCCCTTCCCCCATTCTAAACAGATGAGCAGTGCAGCACATCCAACAGGACAGAAAGGATGCTAATCAAGCAGAAAGATGGAGGTCAACGAGTGCCCTAATCCTTCATACAGAATGTGCTCTAACACATCTCTGCTGGCTCAGTCTGTCAGCCATTTTATGAACTGTGACCATGTGCCTAGTCCATTCAGTCAGTTACTTCCCATCAAGGAGGGAGACATACAAAGATAATATTTGGGCTCAAAGCTTCCTGTATTGTGACCTGTTGATAAACTCTACCTTAAAGTAAGCAATATTAGTACAAACAAAGGTCAGTTTCTTTGGACCAAATGTTTAAGTGATTTATTAGCAGTCAGCAGGTCCTTGTGAACAGAAGAAAACTAAACCTTCAACTATGCAAGCTAACACAAACTAACATGCACACATGCAAACACATGATTAAAAATACTTACAGAGTCTATGATCCCCTGAAGGGCTTCAAAACCGTCATTCACTGGAAAGACATGATCTTTGCTGTCGGCAATTCTAGCCAGCTGACAGAGCAGTAGAAGTAAATAAAACAGAAACGCAAAGAATGAGATAAATTAGCCAGCAGGCAGCAAATTAAGACTTCTCCAGACTCATCCACTTGCAAGCAAAAAAAAACAAATACTCCAAGTACTCTGTATGGATTGCTAGCGCATTATAGTTTGTCAAGCATTGAAAAGTTTATCTGTTTAGCCTGACTGATTTTAGAAAGCTCTATATTGGGAATCACAAAAGGCTTCCCTTAACTTTGAAAGCAAGACAGAACATGACTTTCACCAATGCCCAGAGCCTAATTGTCTTTATTGCAAAAACTGTCTCCCACATGAGTAAATCACGCAGCACAGCAACTCCACAACCAAAATAGACCACAGCATCAACATGACAGGCCACTAATGCAGCACATACATCATTTAAACCGGGCAACTAATCAAAATTATTCAGTATTTTCACATAGAGAGAAGACTAATGCAAATTATACCCCACCTGGAGATACAAGCCTGATCCACCTTTCCTGTCAGGACAGATTTGACTATTTGTCTGAGGTTCAACCATTAGAGAGCCAAAAAGAAAAAAGCAGGGAGCTATAACAGGAGATATTTTCTGAGTGGAGGGAAAAGGGGAGCAGAAGAGCATTTGGAAGCCTATATGACAAGGAAAAGGGCCATTCATGAGGTGGTGGTAAGGGGAATCAGGTCATCACCTTTCAAGATCTGCATGTTCACTTGTCAATAGCATGCTAAGGGTTAAGGCAAAAATATAAATCCAATTCAGAAGTAATGAGCTCTCCATGTATCTGCTGGAGCAGAATCAAGTTTTACTGCTGCAAGGCCAACGTTTGTTATAGTAATTCTCTCCCATGGCAGAGGTAACATCAACCCAGCAGGCCTCTGGCGTTTCCTGTAGCATTGCAAATTGGAGGCAGCAGACTAGCCACACATTCCTCCTTAAACCCCGCTGGCTCCACCTTTCCAGCTCATGTCACTCAGAACTCCCACTTCTCAAGCAAAACCAACTGCCAGCCTCCTGGTTTTGCATCCAGAGAATACTCCAGGCAACCTTCCCCTGCCTGCTCCGAGAAGGGTATAAAGCTGCTTACTGCTTGTTGGCCAAGATACAGCAGCTTCTGTAAGCCAGGATGTTTACAGTTTCCTCAACTCCTCCCCATAGTCCTCCTCCTAGTATACTGGATGACTGCAGACACGGACATCCAATGCCACTTAATTTCTTCAGCACCTAAATGACTTCAAGTAGCAGCTGTCTTTCAGGTCTGCTACTTTAGATTTAGTCTCTGCCACTTCTATTCCCTCCTTGCTTTTTCTATGACTTAGAGACTCTGGCTTACACTAGTCTCTCGTTTTGATTCAAAGGAGATTGTTCTAAACCAAGTTTGTTTTGATTCCTTTTTGAATTAGTGTTTGAAGCTTTGTTAAGAAAGCTGAAAACTTGGGAAAGCTCTATTCAATAACTATGTCAGCAGTCCACTTAGGGACTGTACAAGTGTTTCACTCGTGTTAGAAAAATACAATACCAACTGTTATACTTGGTGTGAAATGTAATTCATGGACATACTAACATTCATGTGATAAACTTAGAAGTCATTCTATCAAACGGGAAAACACAGTAAAACATTAGTATAGCTAATTAAACACCAGTGCGTCATTTACCTGGGTCTCATTGAAGTCTTTCACACCAACACAATATACTGTTGCTCCCAGGTCACGTGACCGATTAGCCTGGAACAAGGAAAGATAGGATGACATGGATTCAAATGTGATGGAATGCAGGTTTCTGAAAGGCCTTAATCATAAATTTAGTCTTTCTCTGTAAAATGAGCAGGGGGGGTGCTTCTCAAGAGAGCTTTAAAGCTTTCCTCCCTGATTCTGCAGAAACATGTTTTATCTGCTACTAGAGTAGCCGGTTTAGTAAAGGAAAACCCAAGGTATTTGGTGTTTTGTTCTTTTTTTTAAACCTGATTAGCTCTCCTCCAACTTCCTAACATTTGTCTGTCCAACAGATGCAAGACAGACTAAATCCATTTTCCTGTCATCATTTAGGACACATCCCAGCATATTAGTAACCTAAAATGTTTTGGTACTCTATTTCAGACATGTGTGCCTGGACTCATGATATCCATAGGTGAAGAGACATTTCCTTCCATCTGCTATAAAACTCTATCACTCCCACTATTTACACAGCATCTCAAACTAGTAAAGGAAGAACATCCACAGGTTTGGTTTTTCCAGGCTATTTCACTGACATGCAGATGAAGTTGCATTTACTATTAAAAAAGCAGCTGTTCTAAATGCTCTTACCTGCTTAAGTATGAATTCAATCATTTAATCATATTGCATTAGAACAGGAACATCTGACTGCAAACCCATTCCAGAAAAGATGGTAGGTAGCAAGTCAGATTACATCAGAAGACTGTAGTAGTTCATACCGTTAGATAGCAAAGTGCTATACAAGAAAAGCATCATTCAAAGCATCAGTTTTACACTGAGAAACTTAAACCCAAACAACTGAAGCAAGTCACAGTGGTAAGAGCTGAGTTTACGATCTCCATATACAAGCTCACTAACTGTTCCTCCCCAAACCAGAAAAATTGTAACACCTCTGACCTCTCAACTTGTTCATTCATGTCTAAAAACAAACCTGTTTTTCTTGTGGATTTTTTATTTCAGAAGGGAAGAAGAGGAGGTGAACAGTAAGGAGGGGAACTCTAGATTTGTTTGGTTTTGTTGTTCTTTGCCTCAGTCTTTAATAGCCAGTCC